GAAGAAGAAGAAGAAGAAGAAGAAGAAGAAGAAGAAGAAGAAGAAAAAGAAGAAGAAGAAGAAGAAGAAGAACGACAACAAGAACAACAAAAATATTTATAATAATTTTTTATCACCATCATCATCATCATCATCATCATCATCATCATCATGGTTAAGGTCTGGGATTTTTTTAACCTCAAAATTTACGAGTTTGAGCCCACCTGGGGGGAAGTTTATTATATAGACACTTGTCGCCTTTCTGATGCTGCCCTGCTTCCCATTCAACTTCTGTTAGTCTTAAACTTAAGCCTAACCTTTGAGGAGAAAGGCGTAAGTAGTTAACATGACAGTAATTAGATAAAACTACCACATTTTGAAGGGACAATATTGTATATCATCCTTAGAAGACTCCCCCTTTTTGTGGCTAGAAGGCATCACTCATGAGTCCTACTTCCTTCCTGTCCAGATTACTTACGACCAGATCGATAGACAGGGTCATCAACGAGGAGTGTTAAGTAAAACAAAACTGAGGGCAGGCGGAGATAAGGCGGGAAGAAGGCGGTGGCGATGGAATAAACGTACTCTCAGGAACCCATGCAGCTGCATAACCAACAAAATTTTAGATTGGAATCCACTGGGTGAGAGATCGAAGAGAAGGCCACGTGGTACTTGGAGAGAACGATGTACAGAAAGTAGGGAAGACATAGAATAATATCAAGAGGCAAGCCCAAGTTTGTGAAAGGTGGGATGTGTATGTTCGTGGCCTATACCCTGACGCAGGGGAAGAAAGGCAGTGGTGATGAAATGACTGTTTACTCGTAGAAGATCAGTGCACACAAATGTCCAATCAGCAGAAGATTAAAAGTTATGTTGTTGCATATTTTGAATCATGACACAAAATTCAGAAACAGGAATTTCCGTTCTCTCATAGTTTGCATGCAGTCGCCTGCCTTTTTATGATCAAAATAAAAAAGAAACCCAAAAAAAATATGAAAAAATTGAAAAATCTGTTTGAATATGGAAGTTATGCCTCCTCTCTAGTAAAGTACACAGAAACAGTGCATCCTCAATGAGGTTATGTTTCAACGAGCTTCTCTTGACTCAAGCTCAAAATCTCAAGTGCATTCCAAGTAATAAAGCCCAATAAATGACCCGTCACAATGACCGAAACGGTAATGATAATAGCAAAATGGTAATCTGTCTCAACATAATGAAGTGATAGAAACTATATTATATTGAACTTTTTTTCCTTTCACTGTTGGTGTTTTACGCTCCATTCGACACTGTAAAGATCAGTTAGAAGGCAGGCTTAGCTCAAATCTGTCCCGGCCAACATGCCCTAAGAGTCACACATCATACAAGAAGAAAGACTGAGACACTCTACGAAGATGGTCCCCGTTCACTACAGACTCCGGTTCCAAAGAAACATCGATCGACAAGTAATCATTACGGCTGGCAAGACATAATGATAAGATCCTCACTTCACGCTGTGCATTTTGTCTTTTGATTAGAAATTATACTTCTCTATAATTTTTCAATCATTCAAAGGCTTATGTTTCTAAAGTTCGAACGAGAGCACAGTTGTTCAGGAGTTAATAATTCGGTTTGATCACAAGACTAGTTTTTAAAAATATAAGAGATGATTTAATGGTGGGCTGTGGCGTCAGTCAGCCTGTATTGCCAGAGCTCAATAAGTTACGTCATGCTTTACTTATTTATTTTTTTCAAATATTCCAGTACAATTTTTAGAACTTCGCTTTATCTCTTTTCTGGCGAATTTAGACGTCTTTGACACGGATATAAATAAATTAATTAATTAATTAATTAATTAACAGGTGTAGTTAAGGGTTCTACGTCTGTTTCCTACAGTAGGAATTTGTGCAGAGATAAAGCAATGAATTGTTTAATCTATTGAGGATTCCTAGGTAAGGATTCGAGCCTTCTGCGTCTTAAAGAATTAATATAACATTATTTACTCATAAGGGTTCTTGATCCCAACCAGAGAAGAAATTGTCCTCAAAATGAAATAAAGAAAGTCTGATTGTTGAACAACTGAAATGTTTCACATCCTATGGACACATCTTCGATCAGCTAACCCAGGGATGAGAAACGTCCCAGCAGACAGAGGGGGTATTCAACAAGGTAATATTCCCATAATATGGGAATCAAATTCTGAACACTAAACTTGTTTTTGTTTGTTTGTTTGTGTGTTTGGGTTTTTTTACGGAAAGGGGGGGGGGGTCTTACGATAGGTAAATTCGCAACTTTAGTTTCTCGTTTCTGCAGGGCGCCTTATATTCTTGAAAACACTTATTACTTTCAGAAAACAAAAGAAAAATTCTTGTAATTTGATGCTTCCTTTTTTTTTTCAATTTAACCCAGATGGAAGAATGATATTGCCAACCTTACTAAGATCAGGCGGTAGATTAAAGACAATACACTAAGGGGGATTTCCTGCCATTTTGGTAAGTGTAAGCTGGTACTAATACTAAATTTGCGAAATCAAGAGGAAAAAAATTGAGGTTCTCTCAATCAAGAATTCTTGCCAGTACAACACAGTAATGAAACGATTATTTGTAGCAGAACTAATAAGATAATGACAAGTACGTACCCAGCAGTTAATGACCGTTATCGGGTCGATGTGCTTGTCTTCACTCAAACTACGCGGTCTTTGCGGGTGGTTGGCGGGGGGTGCTCTGGTGTGGTTTGCTCCTTCTTTCCTATCAAACATCCATCCTTATCTCCCCTTCTTCTTCTTTTTTTGTTTGTTACTGTCTTGTAACTCCTCTAATCTTCTGGCACTCATATCATAATAATAATAATAAATAGCATTTCTATGGCGCATATCCCCGCTCAACGGCAGGCTCTATGTGCTTTACACAATATTATTACCCCAGCAGACCATATGACCTTATGCAGTTCCGAGTGCCGTAAAACCTCTCCTAAAAAAACAAAACAACTAAACTACGCAGTCTAGATGATATCTAACCTTTAGATTCTCATCACCTCTTATTGCTGTTAATAGAGTAGTACGTTGTGATACAAATTAAGAACGAAGAAGAGGAAAAAAGAACCTCAGGTCTCAGAACCGATGCAACGCCCATCATCCACAATCTCTAAGTGGATACTTACCAATATTTCATTGTCCTCAAACCGGTAAAAGTACATTTCGACCCCTCTTTCTTAAAATGAGTTAACAGTATCTACGTTAATGACGTCATGTTGACCCAAATGTGGTTCCGTTGAAAGTGGTGACCCCAGTTTTGCGGAGTAGGCCAAGAAAGTTCCTAATGGAGAGTTAAAGTGTATCTTCATTCCCTAAAGATTTTCTCTTTAAGCACGACAAGAATGTGTCCCTACTCTTCTGCATTAAAAAATGTCATACTTTTACATTATCTGGCCTCTGCTACATTGCAGTATTGAGGGAAGAAGCAAACAGTTTTCGTTGAGAACGTTATAGGTATCAATAAAACTATGTACACAGCAAAGTTATGTTCAACTTTAGAAAGAGTATTTCAAATCAGGAGATGTTTTACACTCTACTATCAACGGTGTTTGTTAATTGAGACATGAGAAGGTGGGTTGGGAGGGGGGGGACTATAAAGGAGAACAATAATTCTTATATTTGAGGGAAGCAAATTTTGTCATACAACTTTTGATCGTCATAAGCTTCCCTACATCCCTACCACTATTTATTGACCTATTGAAATAAGATAAACAACAAACTGAGTACAGAAGTGCAGTCTGATTATAGATATTACTAGATCTATATTTTTACACTCTACTGGAATGGGGCAATAAATCTTGAGAGATGCAAAAAATTAGAAGGTCTAGATCTATACTCTCAAAACAAAATGCGCCTCACGAAATATCACTTCCGGGTTTTCTAAAAGCGATCGGCGAAATAAAGAAATTTAGCTTTTGCAGCAAAACTGGCTCA